CAAATATTCTAACGTATTTGATATTTAATGCTATATTTAAACTCTTTTACGTCATCAGATTCGTATCTTCAACTTCTTCCGATCTTCGGTCTTTAGATGACTTGGATAGGTACGAGACTCGTACCTATTTTAATAACGGTCCGCACCAATGTTGCTTTCTTTTTTCCTTATCTGTTGTCACCCGTGCCTCTTGGCTATTTATTGTGTTTTGACCGTTTGACCAGTCCACGTGTCATGCCATGTCACTTACAATGTAAATTCAGTTTTTTCCCAATACATTGACCAATTCTATACTCTCTTCTTGTAGCCTCAAATTGATGTTAAAGATGCACAATTTGCTTCAATTATTTCGTTCTGCCCGCTGATATAGCTATTCTTTCCATATTAGGCACATTCTAGAAACAATTGTATACACTATTTTTTAGGTATTCAGTATTCACCCACCGCATAAAGGATCGTGCATAAAATGACAACAATGAAAACAAACTTTCCTCTCTAATTAAAATTAAAATACGGAAAGAGATTAACCCTAACTATTGAAAAAAATCTAAAAATACCCTTCATTCACCTATTGGGATAATAATACCCCTCAATCTATCTTTTTAGTTCACTTATGAATTTGACGGTTAGGTCAATGCTTAAATAATAATTGTTTAAATTCCACGTGGTAACTTCTTATTGGCTAAAATTAAAACATCTAACCCAAGAAAGACTCACCCATATCTACTAGTTTTTCGTACTAACCCGCTTCAAATACTAACCCGACCCCGAACAAAAAGTTCAACTAAAAAAAAGAGAGCCCACTTCTATCAAACTCCATGGAACAAAAGCTCTATAGAAATTGCAGTGAACATATAGACACAAATTTACTATGTAATTTTTTTTCTTTGTTATGGCATCCAGTTCAATTTACATGATAGACGCAAATTGTATTATATTCAAGATGAGTTTAATTTAATTATTTTCACATAATGGAAAAATCTCAAAGTGATTGTTTGGAAGATATCATAAACCGTTGGATTACCCCTAGTTTTCCGACCCACGTTATTGTAAAGAAAATCATTGGCTCATTCATGCTAGGCTTTTCTTGTTTGTTTAATTTGTTCATGAACATTTATTCGATGATAATTCTATACATGAGATTAATCAAGAAAATGAACACATGTAAATCCATGAGTTAGATGGAAGTAGGGCGTCTTTTTTTTTTATTTGAACTTTTTATTCGGGTCAGGTTAGTGTTTGGGAGGGTTAGTCCGAAAAATGGGTAAATATGTGTTGGTCTTTCTAATAAATTAGATGTTTTAATTTCGACCAATAAGAAATTGTCACGTGGAATTTAAATACTTATTTTTTAAATGCAGCATTGACCTAACGGTCAAAGGGTATAGGTGAATCAAAAAGGTTAATGAAAGCATATTTTTAGCTTAATAGGTGGATGAAGCATATTTTTAAATATTTTTCAATAGTTTAGGAGCATTTTTACCCTTTTCCGATTAAAATATGAATCTTTAGCAAAATAAGTAATTTTAACACAAGAAACTCTACCACCTAGGACCAAATGTACTTAATCTAAATTCACATTAACCATATTTCAAAATTCATAAAAAAAAATAAAGAGTAAAAGGCCAAATATTTAAACCAGGAAAAGAGATTAGAGGGGTTTGAACACTTGCACAGAAAGTAAAGAAAATGGATGAAGAGGAAAATATTTAAACCAGGAAAATATATTTCTTCTAATTATAAATGCTTTTGGTTTTTTTCTATGTTATACATTTTAGCTCCTTGTTGATTTACCTTTTAGAAAGGATGGGAATGGGAAAATGGAATTATTTTTCTATTTATTATTTTTCTATTATATTATCACCGTTAATGCTAAAAATATGAAATTACACGGTGAAAAAACTAATTTTTGATTATACACATAACTGCTCTTTACGTCTGTCATTCTCTATACTTGTTATGAGATGGCAATGTAACAGTGCTACCGGAAAGGAGGCACACGTGGAAGTTAGTAGTTAGCAATTATCCCGTTGTGTAACAACCATGTAGTGAACATTTGTATTAGGTTAAATAGTTAGTAAGATGTATCATAGTGAGTATTAGTAAGATGAGATGATTGTATAAATACATTGAAAAGCAATAGAACAGTAGACAGTTATCATTTTGCTTATTCACTCATTTCCCTTTCTTCTTCTTACATAAGCTTCTCGAGCTTCAATGACTAAATCTGTCTCACCTCTCTCAATATTTTAGCATGGTATCAAAGTAATTTATTCTGGTCATACACGCAATTTTCGATTCAATTTATCAAATTACTGTGTGAAACCTCTTCTTAATTAAGCTCGTTTGTTTGCAGCTATGGCGGCAGAAAAACTCACCTACACACATCTATTATTCATTAATCCTGCTGATACTCCTAGTTCGGTACTTGTTCCAGTCAAACTCACTGTATCAGAAAATTATGACCTATGGAGTAGATCAATGCGCATCGCTCTTCAAGCAAAGAGAAAGCTAGGGTTCGTACTAGGTACCTGTAAAAAATAATCCTTTGACAAGGAGCTGCAGGAACAATGGAAATATGCGATGCAATTGTCCTCTCATGGATTATCAATATAGGTTCTGAAGATCCACTTAGTGAAATTGTATATGCCTCTAATTCTTACGTTGTGGAAGGATCTCAAGAAGCGATTTGACAAAGTCAATCACATGAGAATTTTCCAAGTTCACTGTCAAATTGCCAATCATTCACAAGGTACTAACTTTGTTTCTGTCTATTCACTAAATTGAAGGACATATGGGTAGAATATGATGCCATGGTTCCCCTCTTGATTGTGATTGTGAAAAATCTAAGGAGTCAGTGGAGCACTTTCATCAGCAGAGATTACTGCAATTCCTTAGTAGACTGAATGATTCATATGACCAAGCTAGGAAACAAATCTTGTTGAAATCAACTTATCCTATGATTAATCGGGCATAAGCTATGATAATTGAAGATGAAAGTCAACATTCAGCTGGTTTAAATGCAATTACTACAAACATAGACCCTTTAGGTATGCAATTGACTCATGGACAACCTTATAACGACAAAAAACCATTTATACAATATGGGTATTGCAATTTAAGGGGTCATATCAAAGAAAATTGCTACAAGCTTGTTGGGTACCCCTATGATTTTAAGCCTAAGAAGACCTCTAAGCCTGATTATGGGGGATCTAAAAGTCCAGTAGGCTATGGTGGTCAATTTGAGTATGGTAAGCAGCCCCTTAATGCTATAAAAATGTGTCTGAAAATGTTGACATGCCACCACCACATCAGGTGCCTTCTAGGAACCTAGGTCCTACTGAGATCAAGGCTCAATATTTCATAGAAGAACAATAGAAGCAGATTCTCAATTTGCTAAATAAAGATGCCGGTGGAAGTCAAAGTAATAAGGGGAATCATACCAATGTAGCATGTGACTTGTATGATATCCAAAGTAAGAGATAATGATGAACGGATTATGGATTCTAGAGCTACTCATCTTGTAACTTCTGAGGAGAGCATGTTAAAATGTGACCACAGTAAAATAATATGTGGTAATAACAAAGTTCATTTGCCCACAGTAGATAAGGCAGATATCACTCATACTGGTCATGTGTCTTTGTTTAGTATTGCAATTGTGAGCAATGTACTGATTGTTCCTGATTTCAAGTTTAACTTGCTATCAATCTCTAAAATGACAAAGGAACTGTCCTGCTCAGTCAACTTTTTCCCTAACTTTTTGTCTTTCATAAACTTTGGAATGGCAGGATAAAGGGGATTGGTAGCCGGAGAGGAAACTTGTACATATACAAAGTTGCAGACAACCGTAAGCATGACACAAAACACCCAATAATATTAATAGTTCATGGACAAGGCAATACTTTATAGCATCAAAGACTTGGACATCCTATCATACCAGGCATGAAGTCTCTGAATTTGTTGCATAATTATGTAGATAGTTTATAGTTGAATAAGTTCCCAATTTGCCCCTTAGCAAAACATAATGTTTTCTAGTAGTGACTCTAGAGTTGATTCACCTTTCCACCTTGTACATATGGATCTCTAAGTCTCTTCTAAAACTCCTACTTTTAATCACACATATTATTTTTTGACTATTGTGGATGTTCACAGTAGGTATATATGGATTTTCTTATTACAACTTAAATCTGAAGCTATTGTAGCCATTAATCTTTCCTGTCTATGATGCAGTCACAATTTAGTGTCAGGGTTAGGGTCCTTAGAAATAATAATGACATTGAGTTTTTTAACTCACAGTGCAATGACCTTCTTCAAGACTTGGACAAACTTCACCAAAGCAGCTATGTTCATACCCGTCGACAATATGGGGTGGTTAAGAGGAAACACACACATATTTTAAATATTGCAAGAGCACTTAGATTTCAAGTACTGGGGTATGTGTGTAAAGGCTGTAGTGTGTCTCATGAACAGGTCACACTCTACTGCTACTAGTAGTAAAAGTCCTTATGAGTTACTATACAAGAAGCAGGCAACCTTACACCGTCTAAGGACATTTTGTTGTCTGTGTTATGTAACTACAGTTGCCAAGGATGACAAGTTTGCAGAAACAGTAAGACCAACTGTGTTCTTCGGCTATCAGAATTACAGAAGGGCTACATTCTTTTAGACCTACGAACACAACTGTTTTTTGTTAATAGAGATGTTACCTTTAGAGAAACTGAGTTTCCTTTTGCCATTTCTTCCTTAAAGAAACAGGTTGCACCTACTAATCACATACTGTCTCATGATATACTGCAAGATCCACCACTAATGACTCAACTTCAACTTTTTGGACTAATGGTGACTCTGAGGGATCATCTGGTTCTACTGCTCAAGTGTCTGACCTAGCTGATTTGGCACATGATCATTCTTCTACCTTGGGGCATGAAGGGGGAGATGACTTGATAGAGGAGCCAAATTCACTTTCAAATTCCTCAAATGAGGAGCACAATCCATAAGATGGACAACAGAATACAAAAGTTCATGCTCCAATTGCCAGGAGGTCATCAAGGGATTCCAAACAACCTACTTGGATGAAAGATTAGATAACCACCAAACAGGGCAACAACAAGTACGCCATTTCTAACCATCTGTTCTATGACAAAACCAAACCAACCTATCAAACTTACCTTGACAAGTTTTCTGCACTTGTGGAGCCTTAATGCTTCAAGGAAGCAGCCAAGGATGCAAGGTAGATAGAAACAATAAGCAAGAGATTAAAGCATTAGAAGAAAATGACATATGGGAAGTGGTAGACCTCCCAAAAGGAAAGAATGCAGTGGGATCAAAATGAATTTACAAAATAAAATATCAAGCTAATGGAGAAGTCGAGAGGTTCAAGGCCAAAATTGTAGCACAAGACTACAATCAGAAGGAAGACCTTGACTATCATGATACCTTTTCACCTATTGTCAAGATGGAAACTATGAGGTCAGTCATAACTCTTGCAGTATCTAGAGGTTGGACCCTATGGTAAATGAATGTGTACATGCCACGACCCTAAAACGGACACGATTGTGATGGCACCTATCGTGAAACTAGGCCAGCCGACAAAAACCCCAAAACCAACCAAACAATTATAATAAGTCATTTAAGGTCATTAATAAGCTAAAATCCCAAAATGTAAGGTAGAATAGAACAGTGCGGAAAAAAACACGGCCCGATATAGGGGTGTCACCAGTCATGAGCAACTACAACTCGTCTAGGAATAAGAAAAAGACAACATAGTCTGAAACAGAAACTAATACAAAGCTGAATAAGATAGAATGAGATGCACTAGGATGCGAACGCCAAGCAGCTACCTAGTCAACTCTGGAGACCTGCTAGAAAGCTGATCAACACTCGCTATCGCGATCCGAGACTCCTGGATCTGCACACAGGGTGTAGGGATTAATGTGAGTACGCCAACTCAGTAAGTAATAAAAGTAAAGGCAGTTAAGTAGTAAGAAAACACGTAAACCATAACATAACGCTACATTAAAATAGAATTAGTCTAGAATAATGCAGTAAAGCAGCAAAACTCGTAAACACATCTTAGTTCAATAAAAACCTTTTAAAAACATCTTTCAATTATTTCAAACGAGTGATGAAAACAGTGAGAAAAAGGATAGAAACATAAACAGCCCCTCGGCAAAATATCAATAGAACCAGCCCCCCGGGCTACCTCACAATCACTCGTATCATTCCCTCGGGCAATAACATGTAACAACAACAGTCTCTCGGGCAATATCACAATTTACACTGGGTATCCGCACTCACTGGGGGTGTTCAGACTCCGGAGGGGCTCCTACAGCCCAAAAGCTATAACAAGCCATCTCGTGGCATAATCAAACAGGCACTCGGCCTCATAACAAACCAACTCATGGCATAATAAATCAGGCCCTCGGACTCATAATCATGAATCAGTAACAACCTGTTACGGCGCGCAGCCCGATCCCATAATATCCTCACATCATAGGCCCTTGGCCTCACTCAGTCAGAAATCTCTCAAGTCCCTCGGGCAATAGTAAAACATGATGCTCAGCCCCAAAATATCAGTTAAACTATCAAAACGGAGTAAATACGGCTGAGTTATGAAAATAGTAGAATACAATATGATTGAGTACAAATATGAAGTCAAAACAGTGAGGAATAGTAGTAAAAATCCTCTAAGGGTCCAAAACAATTGGCACGAGGCCCAAATATGGCATTCAACCCAAAACATGATAATACTTTCCAAAACACAATGATATCAAACAGTTTCAATCAAATACGCGATTTAATAGTCATACGGGATGGACTAAGTTATAATCCCCAACGGTGTACGACCCCACGCTCGTCATCTAGCATGTGCGTCACCTCAAAGTACCACAACAATGTGAAGTCGGGGGTTTAATACCCTCATGACAGCATTTGCAATCATTACTTACCTCAATCCGATCCAAACTCTAGCCTGCGATGCCTTTGCCTCCTAACTCGGCTTTCGGATGCTCCAAATCTAACCAAAACAAACTTATACCATCAAAATGTGCTAAAGAAATAAAGCCCACTAAAAAATAACCAATTTACATCAAAAATCTCGAAAATTGGCCAAACACGACCCCCAGGCCCACATCTTGGATTCCGATAAAAATCACAAAACTAGAATCCTTACACTCTCACGAGTTCATACATATCAAATACATCAAAATTCGACCACAAATGACCCCTCAAATCCTTAAATCAAAGTCTCCAATTTTAAGCCCTAACTCCCCAATGTTAGGCTTTAGATTCCACAAATTTCATGTCTAATTAGGTATAAATCATAATAGGATTGAGTATTGAGTCCAAAAATCTTACCTCCAAGTGTTTCCCTTTAATTCCCTCTTCAACCCTTCTCAAAAAGCTCCAAAATCGTTCAAAAATGGTGGAAGATAGACCAAAAATCGCGAACATGGGTATTTAAACATTCTGACCAGGTGACCTATCCTTCATCGCGAACGCGGTCAAAGCCTTACGTTCGCGAAGCACAAAAATCAGATGACCACTTATTCCTTCTTCGCGAACGCGACCTCCTAAACACGAACGCAAAACTTCAGCTTCTCAGACCATCGCGAACGCGACACACCCAGCACAAACGCGAAGCACAAATGACCAGGACCCCTAGCTGCTCCAATTACTCTACGCGAATGCGGGAACCTCATCGTGTTCGTGATGCACACTGAACCTCACCCTTCGCGAATGCAGGACCAACATCGCGAACGTGAAGGCCAAATTGACTGCCTCAATTCTTATCCCTTCGTGAACGTGAGAGCCCTCGCGAAGGCCAAAACTCTACAACATACACAACAGAAAATCTGCAACTTTTCAACGCAAAATTTAATCCGTTTAACCACCCGAAACTCACCCGAGTCCCTCAGGACCTCAACCAAACATGCCACCATATCCCATAACATCATTCAAACTTGTTCCAACCTTTAGAACGCTCAAAACAACATCAAAACACCAAGTTATCATCGGATTCAAGCCTAAGAAATTCTAAAACTTCCAAATTCCGCTTTCGATCAAAAAGTCTATCAAACCTCGTCCGAATAACCTGAAATTTTGCACACACGTCACAAATGACACAACGGACCTACTCCAACTTCCGAAAATTCCATTCTGACCCCTATATCAAAATCTTCGCTACCAACCGAAAAATGCCAAAATTCCAATTTCGCCAATTCAGGCCTAAATCTACTCCGGACTTCCAAAACACATTCCGATCACGCTCCTAAGTCCCAAATAACCTCCTGAAGCTATCTAAATCATTAAAAACCAAATTCCGAGATCGTTTACTCACAAGTCAACTTTTGGTTGACTTTTCCAATTAAAAGACCAACTTAAGAGACTAAGTGTCTCATTTATCTACAAAACCACTCTGAACCCAAACTAATCAATATGATGCGATAGAATACAATTGAACAACACATAACGAATCAGAAATGGGGGAAACGGAGCGGTAAATCATGAAACGACTGGCCGGATCATTACATCCTCCCCCTCTTAAACAAACGTTCATCCTCGAACGAGTCAAGAAACATACCTGAAGCCTTAAATTAGTGAGAAGAACTGCTCCGCATCTCCCGCTCGGTCTCCCAGGTAGCCTCCTCTACGGGTCGACCTTTCCACTACACTTTCACTGAAGTTATATCCTTTGACCTCAACTTTCAAACCTGACGCTCCAAAATAGCTACTAGCTCCACATCATAAGTCAAATTATCATCTAACTAAACCGTTCTGAAATCCAAAACATGAGACGGATTGCCAATATACTTCCTGAGCATAGAAACATGAAATACCGGATGCACACTCGATAAGCTGGGTGGCAAAGCTAGCTCATAAGCCACCTCTCCAATATACTCTAATATCTGAATAGTGCGCTCGAACTGCCCATCCGTCTGAGGGTGAAAAGCTGTGTTCAACTCAACCTGAGTACCCAACTCTCTTTGCACGGCTCTCCAAAACTGCAAAGTAAATTGAGTACCTCTATCTGAAATGATGGAAACTT